ACACAACAAACTCATAGATACAGAGAACAGACTGGCAGTTGCCAGAGGTGGGGGGGGCAAGGGGCAAGCAAAATGGGTGAATGGGGTCAAAAGATAAAAATTTCCAGTTATAAACCAAGTAAGTCGTGGGGATAAAATGTATAGCATGGTGACTATAGTTAATAATACTGTGTTACATATTTGGAAGTTGCTAAGAGAATAGATCTTAAAAGTTCTCATCACAAGAATAAAAAATTTGTAACTATGGATGGTGATAGATGTTAACTAGATTTATTGTGGTGATCATTTCACAAAATATGCAAATACCAAACATTATGTTGTACTCTTGAAACTAATATAATGTTATATATTAATTATCCCTCAATAAAAAAAAAAGAATGTGGACAAAGATAAATGGAGTAAGTATTCTTAGGGTCCTATGTTGTCCAGGAAGTAGGAAGAGGATCAATTTACATCATACTGTAATAAGTTAAGGAGGCATGTTTTATTCTCTAGCGCAATCTCTAAAAGAAGAAAACAAAGAAATGCTATCTAACAAGCTACTAAGGGGACTGAAAAGAGTAATAAATTTGTGAACTTGAAAGAAGACAAAAGAGAAAAAAATTAAAATAGAAAAGTTGTGAAAATAGAAGAAAATTGTAAGATAGTAGATTGAATTACTAAATACTCTAATTTAAAGAGAAAATGTCCAACTGGATTATCAAACAATCACCTGCTGCTTACAACAGATACCCTGAATATAAGGGCACAGAAAAGTTGAAAATGAAAAAATACACACAATGCAAACATTGACTGAAGAAAGTAAGTATAGCTAAACTAATACATCAAATACACTTTAAGGCAAGAAGTTTACTAGAGTTAGAGACTTTTGATAACCATGAGAGAGTTAATTCGTCAGGAGGATGTAACAATTTTAAATGTATACACCTAATAACAGAGCCTTAAAAATATCTAAAACAAACATTGATAGAAATAAAAGTTATAGTAGTCCAATTTATAATCAATTTGACATACTTCCTCAATAACTGATGTAACAGGCAGACAAAAACTCAGTAAGGATATATAAGATATGAACAACATAACTAACAAGTATGATTTTACATATATGTATAAACAGTTGACCCAATAACTATAGAATACATATTTTTTTCAACTATACATGGAACATTTACTAAAATTGATCCTTTGTTGGGCCATAAAGCACATCAAAACAAATGTCAAAGAATTAAAATCACACAGAGTATATTAATTCGCTGTGGCTGCTGTAACAAATTACCGCAAACTTAGTAGCTTAAAACAACACAAATTTATGATCTTACAGTTCTGTAGGTTAGAAGTCTGACATGCAAAAAATAAAATTAAGAAAACAACTCCATTTACAATAATGTCAAAAAGAATGAAATGCTTAGGAAAAATTTAACAAGGAGTAGAAAACTTGTACACTGAATACTATAAGATATTTTTGAAAGACATTAAAGAAGATGTAAATAAATAGAAGGGCATCTGTATTCATGGATTAAAAGATTTGGTACTGTTAAGATCGCAATACTCTCCAAATTGATCTACAGATTCAATGCAATCTTTATAAAAATTCCAACTGCTTCTGTTGCAGAAATGGACAGGCTGATCCTAAAACTTATCTGGAAATGCAAGGGACCCCAAATAGCCAAAACAATTTTGAAAAATAACAAAATTGGAGGACTCACACTTCCCAATTTCAAAACTTACTACAATTCTACACTAATCGAAACAGTGTAGTACTGGCATAAGGACATATGGAAGGAAATTGAAAGTCCAGAAATAAACCCACTCACTTGTGATCAATTGGATTTCAAGAAGGGTATCAAGACCATTGAGTCGGGGAAAGAATAGTCTTTCTGCCAATGGTGCTGGGACAACTGAATATCTACACACGGAAGAATGAATTTGGACCTGCACCTCACACAATGTACAAAAATTAACTCAAAGATCTAAACGTAAAAGCTTAAACTATAAAACTCTTAGAAGGAAACATAGATGTAAATCTTTATGACCATGTATTGGGCAACAGTCTCTTAAATATGACACCAAAAGAATGAATAACAAAAGAAAAAACAGATACGTTGGGTTGCACAAAAAATAAAGAGTTTCATGCTTGAAAGGACAACACACAGAATGGAAGAAAATATTTGAAATCAGATATCTGATAAAGGTCTAGTAACCAGAATATATAAAGGACTCTTACAAGTAAACAATAAAAAGAAAACCTAATTTAAAAAATTGGCATAGTATTTGAATAGATTTTTCTACAGAGAAGATGTACAAATGGCCAACAACGCACATAAAAAGATGTTCAACTTCATTAGTCATTAAGATAATGCAGTCCTGTCTCAAGGTTACATAGTAGACCAGTGGGACAAAATAAAAAGCCCAGAAACACGCAGGCACTTGATTCCCAACAAAGACAACACTGCAAAGCAGGAGGGGAAATGATGGCTTTTCTCAGTTGCTGATGTACACGAATTCTGACTCCCTGTTTTATACCATATGCTAAAATCAGTTCCAGATAGATTATAGACTTGAATCTGAAAGGTTAAACAATAAAGCATCTTCTAGAAGATAACATAAGAGAATATCTTTATAATCATAGGGTAGGCAAAGATTTCTTAAATAAGACCAAAAAAAGCGACAATGACAAAGAAAGATATTGACAAATTGGACCACAATGTCAAAAAGCAAACCACAGGTGCCAGCACAGTGGCATAGTGGTTAAGTTTGCACACTCTGCTTCTGCAGCCTAGGGTTCACAGGTTCAGATCCTGGGCACAGACATAGCACAGCTCACCAGCCATGCTGTGGTGGCATCCCACATAAAATAGAGGAAGATTGGCACAGATGTTAGCTCAGCGATGATCTTCCTCATAAAAAAAAAAAAAAAAAAGCAAATCACAGAGTGAAAGAAGGTATTTACAATGCAATTACCTAAAAAAGACCTGGTATGCAGAATATATAAAGGACATTTACAAGTCAATTTAAAAAATGGCGAGAGCCTTGACTAGGTACTTCAAAAATATCCCACGACCAGGAAACAAAAAAGGGGGTACTCCATTCCATTAATCACCAGAGAAATGTAAATCCACACCACCGTGAGATATCACTACACACCTACAAGAACGGCTGAAAACTGTGTACCTAACAGAAATGTATAGACATGCAAATGAATGTTCATAGCCACCTGTAACTACTAACCAAAAACTGGAAACAGAGTCCATCCACAATAGAGTGGGTAAATAAATTTTTATGTATTACTACAATGGAGTAATACACAGCAATGAAAAAGAATGAATTAATCTTACATAAACAATACAGACGAAACTGAAATGTAACATGGCTTGAAAGAAGCCAAACACAAAGAATTTATACTGGATAATTTCAGTTACATAAATTTGAAAACTGGCAAAGCTTATCTAAGATATTAGAAGTCAAGACAGTAGTGTCTTTTGTTGGGGGTGGGGAGAGGAGAAACAGTTACAAAGAAGGGAACTTCTGAGACACTTTTAATACTTTCTGTCTTCATCTGAGCAGTGGTTACAGGTTGTTCACTTTGTGAAAAACCATCAAACTGTATACTTATGTGTACTTTTGCATATGAATGTATACATCAATAAATGTTTTTTTAAAAAAATCAAACACACAAGAGAATATCTGCCATCATTCTAATGCTTTTAAGAATTATTTGAATCAAATGTTAGAGTCATTTGGTGTAACTACACTAATATGAGTCCAAAAACTAAATAAATGTGAGTCCACAAATAAATATGCTTTTGGAAAAAATAAGTATACTTAGTGAATTCAAAACCATGTTATTAAATTCTGGTGAGATCTTGTTGCCTGCTATGCCTCTGACCCCAAGGCCCATCTTTCTTGGTTGGAAAGGTAAATAAGGAAGTGTTCAAGAAGTGCTTAAGATTTACCACCACGCTGAAATTGCTTCTTGATATGTAATGAAAATAGGATTGAAAAGGGAATTGCTTTCTCAAATGGGATACGGTAACAACCACTACTATGTATCATCTGGAATGCCTGGGCTAAGCACCGGAGACCTCCCCCACGCTGTGGGCACCCTGGCTCATTTGACCTCCAAGTTCCTTCCCGGCTGACCTTCTGTGACTTGCTGATAGAAGGCTGCACATTCAATGATAGCTACAGATAGCACTAAACTTAGAAACGGTTTCCAAAAGGAAAATTGAGTCAAGTCCATAAAAGGATTTACTAAAATGGGTAGGCATCTATCTATACCCCCAGTGATATAATGACCACCTCCTTTCACATGTAACAGGCCTAAGCTTGAGAGAAGGGAGCTCCATTCGAAGGAGGTTCCTCTCCCACTGCACGTCTGAGCTACCAGCAAAGCCGTCAGCTCTACTTTCAAAGTGTATCCAGAATCCAGCCACTTCTCACCATCTTCCAGGTTACCATCAGCCTTCCCCTGGTGGCTCCTAACTGGCCTCTCCTCTCTTACCTTTGTCCTCTCTCACTTTGTTGTCACAGAACAGCCAGAGTGATTCCATCAAACTCCAAGTCAGACCTTAGCACTCCTCTGCTCAAAACGCTCCCATCTCACGCAGAGCAAAAGCCCACACCCTCGCCGTGGCCCACCAGGCCCTCTGTGACCTGACAGGCCCATTACCTCCCTGACATCACCCCCTATTGCTCTTGCCTAGCTCTCTCTGACCCAGCCGCAGGGGTTTCATTGATGATCTTCAGCCATGCTAAACATGCTCACACCTCAGGGCCTTAGCACCAGCTGTTCCCTCTGCCTGGGGCACTCTACATCAGATAGCACCTGGCTCCCTCCCTCCCCCTCTTCAGATCTTTACTCAAAGTTCACCTTATTACTGAATGCTTCTCTGACCCTCTTATGCAAAATTGCATTCCCCCTCCATACTCCTGATTCCTGTTCTCTGCTTTTTTGTTTAATATTCATCACCATCTAATAGTCTAAGTATTTATCTACTTACGTTATTTAAAGCTCGTTGTCCCATCTCTTCATACCAGGAAATTTTTCAATGAGGAAAGCAGACTCTAGGACTTGAAACTCAAGAGAGAGTTTAGACAAGAACTTGAAAAGACACTAAATGTCTTTCTAGCTTTAGATTGGGAACTGAGCCATTGGTAATATTCCACTTGGGTAACAAAGCCCCTTTCTTTGATTCTTATTGGGCTGATAAAGCCGGAAGGATGGTTGAGCTGCTGACGAGAAGCTGCTGTTTATCCTTCAAACCATGGCACTCTGTCCAGTTCCTCCCTTTCAGTGCTGTAGGGCTCTCCAATTTCCTCAGGGGAGAAAACCTGTGGCCTGTCACTCCCTTGGGGTAGGGGAGGACAGTCCATTCAACAAGTATTTATCAGTTACTGTTAATGCGCCAGACAATGAGCTACATGCCAAGAACACAGAAGAATTCACGTAGCCTTTGCCCAAGGGGAGCTGACAGTCCAGGGAGCAGACGGGGAGAGAGGTGGTTTTCTCAGCACCATGATTAAACCTACAGAGGGCTGATATACAGCACCCTGCTGGGTTCTGAGATGTCAGGTTGCTGCCAGTAGTTTGTTGGTAATTATTCAAATTTGCAACCGTTCAGTCTCCATTTATAACTGAGAGGTTTGAAGGTTGTGCCTATGGCGTCACTTTCACTCTCTGATATGTCCCTCATGTGACGGAAAATGAGGTACCAGAAGTTAAATATCAGCCTGGGAAGGCCCATGGAGCGCGTGTGCCATGCACGAAGTCATCAGGGTGTGCACTGGAAACAGGTTGAGAACCTCTGCTAAAAACCTCTTTTTCCCCAGTTTATACCTTGTTTAAATTCACAAGTGGCAATGATAATGGCAGCTGTGACCGCTGCGCCCTGGTTCATGCAGGCACTGTGACAGGCACTGGGGTTAAGTTAGGTCATGTACTCCTCACTCCAATAGGATGTGTAGGTATTGATTTTTTTCTTTCCGTTTTGTTGAGATACAATTGACGTACAGCACTCTATACGTTCAAGGGGCACAGCATAATGACTTGACTTACATATGTTGCAAAATGACTACCACAATAAGTTTAGTTATCATCCATCATCTCATATAGATATAAAAAAGAGAGAGAAAAAAATGTTTTTTTCCTTGTTGTGAGAACTTTCAAGATCTACTTTCTTAGCATCTTTTAAATATACCATATAGCAGTGTTAACTATAGTCATCAAGTCATGCACTGCATCCCCAGTGGTATCATTATATCCCCAGTTACATACAATCCAGTAACAACTGGAAGTTTGTACCTTTTGACCACTTTCATCCGATTCCCTCACTCCCCATCACCTGCCTCTGGAAATCACAAATCTGATCTCTTTTTCCATGAGTCTGGGTTTTTTTTTAAGACTCTGCATATAAATGAAATCATACAGTATTTGTCTTTCTCTGACTTATTTCACTTAGCATAATGCCCTCAAGTTCCAGTCATGCTGTAACAAATGGCAGGATTTCCTTCTTTTTATGGCTGAATAGTATTCCGAGGTGTATGTATTATTTAACCCCACTTTTCCGATGCAGATATTGGCATTGGGGTTTGTGTTAAATATGTTACTCAAGGTTATACAGATGGTCAGAGGTGAATTTGGAATTCAAATCCAGATTTTTCTGATTCTAAGACCTTTGTATAAAATCCTTCTGGCATACAGCTTGGCAAATCAAGTAGGAAATTTTTGGAATCAAACTTTCCTTTGAAGAGAGATTTGATGCATTTATGAACCAATTTGATGCAACCAAGAACTAAGTGAAATAAGGTATGTAAAGCCCAGAAGCCACCTCACAGTGAGAGCTAGATGGTAGGTAACTCATCCTCGCCGTTTTCTATCACATTTGCTCTTCCTTCCTTCTTTCTTTTCTTCCTTCCTTCCTTTCTTTTTGCCTTAAAGCAACTACCACCTATTCTTTCTCATGAGTCTTCTGGTTGCCCGGGAAGTTCTGCTTAACTAGGCTGGGCTCAGCTCAGCTTGCTCGTGTGTCAGCTGGTGAGTCTGCTAGGGGCTAGCTGGTCTAGGATGGCCTCAGCCACATGTCCACAGGTTGGTCAGGTTTCAACTGGGGTGACAACCATCAGGCGAGCCTGGACTTGGTCACACAGTGGTAGTAGTGTTACAAGGAGTGAATGTAAGCAAGCAAGGTCTCTTGAGGCTTCGGCTCGGAACTGGCACTCCATCATTTCTGTTCCAACAGAAGTCATAAGGCCAGTCCAGATTCAAGGAGCCAGGAAATAGACTCTCACCTCTTAATGGGATGGGATGAAAAATCTCATTTCCAAGGATGCCTCACATTTCGTCTTACTCTCAGTTCTCCTAGGAGACCAACAGACTCTCACAGGCAAAAGAACGTCCTGCCTCCAGGCAGGTTCCCAGACTCCAGTTCAATCTGACCACCTGTTGTTTAGCATCATTCATTCTTAATTCTCTTCTAATTTAGGTTGGTAACATTTTTATTTCCCTTAAAATGGGGACTACCCATGATATCCTTTCCTAGTGGAGTTTCCATTGTTACCCTTTTATTTGTTAAGTACTCATGTTAAATTATTTTGGGCCTAATAGCTGTGAATAAGTAAGGCCTCCAGAGCTCTATTAAACAAGTCAAAAGCCCACACTAAAAGAACTCTGCAGGTCACATGTCACTCAAACCCCCTGGCATTGGAAGCCCATGAACCTGGCCAAAATCTATCTTTTGTAACCTCATGTCCTGTTACTAGCCCACAGGCAACCCCCTTCTGAGCCCAACCTTCCAAAGCCTTCCTCAACACACTGCAAAATTGTGTGTGCTCCTTACTTTTGTACGTGCTGTTCCTGCTGCCAGGAATAAATGTCCCAGCCTCTCTTCTCCACCTGGTGAACCCCCATTGATCCTTTACAACCAGATTACATCTCATTTTCATGCATGCAGTTATTCAACAAATATGTCGTGGCCTGCCAGGCCCGGGATGCATGGGGATTGAAACAGACTCAGCCCCTTCTCCTCATGCAGCTTACTGTCACTCTTACGAGAAATCACCCAACTTCTAAGTCCCTGCCTTTGCTCTGTTCCTACAGACGTGCACGTGTGTGTGTTTGTATGTGTGTGTATGTGTATAGATATGTATATGTATGATTGTATATGTATATGTCTGTGCACACATGTGCACATATGCACACACACACACATCTTTTACAGCACAGACTACATTAGACTCATGATTTGTTGGTAAATTTTTCTCTTCCTTAAGACTGTGAGCCCTTCACACTCAGGGATCACACCTCATTATTCCATTATTATGATTAGATCACCCAGTACTTTCCTTATAGCAGAAGTTCAAATAAACATCTGTTGAATAGACAAATGATGGAATGTCAGAAGGAAAAGATGCTCTTGGAGGCAGTTTAGCTCCATTCTTTCATTTTGCAAGTGAGAAAACTAAAACTCAGGTGAATTAAACCGCTTCTTGGGACCATAGTGCCTTTATACAGGGAACAATGTGGTCTCCCAACTTCAGAGTCAAAAGTGGGAGTGTTTCACATTTTAAACACAGTTTCTGGTTTTAAGTAACTGTATTTCGCATTTTATAAGAATTTTAAGTGGTTAAAATACAGTATATGGGAAGTGACTAAGACATTGGGTTTTTAAGTCAGACAGATTGGGAATAAAATTCTGGCACCGTTTGACCTTCGGCAAGTTATTTTCACCTCTGAGTCTCACTTTCCTTCCCGGTAAAATGGAGCTGCCCCTGTGTGCCTGCCCCAGCATGCTGGGGAGATGTCAAAAGCATGGGGCTTAACCCTTAGAAAATGTGTAGTAGGTGTAAGCTATCATTTTTTATCATTATTATTTTGCCATTAATTTAAATGATACCTGAAAAACAGCATTGGCTATGGGTTTAGAGGTTCTAGTCTAACCACAGCTATCTTCAAGAGGTCTCCACAATTGTCGCCATCTTAAATCAGTCACAACAAACCCCTCGAGTTACGGAGACACTCGGCTGTCTTTCTGTCAGAAGCTTCGGGTGCAGTGTTACTCTTGCCACAGGACTCACCTACAGGAATTGAAGAGCTGGCAGGTGCTGAGCACAAGGGAACCAATGCATTCCAAAGGATGATGGCAAGCCCAGTATCGCAGAGAGAGTGACTCAGCTGCTGTTACCGAACTAGTAGAACCTGCTTTTAATGGCCAGAAGATGTTCATCTCCTGAGGCTTGGTTAGTATGCTGAACAATCCTTTTTTCATGCATGAAAATGGAAATGTAAAGGTTAGAACACTATGGTTAAGAATGGTTTTAAACAATATTTTATGGCATCTGAAAGCAACCCTTTTATCTTTTACATCTTCACTTTTTATTGTCTGGGCTTTTATGAGCTGTGTGCTTGAACTAGACCCAAATCCTGGGTGCCACACTCAAAATCATATGGTACATCTGTTTCTCTGACCGAGGATGTGGTGGGATTCTGCATATCAAACTCTTGCTCCCACCCCGAAATCAGCACGCTCACATTCCATGGAAGAAAAGGAAAATAGTGCACCCATACTCTCTCCGAAAAAAGGCAGCCTTGGTCACATTCCATGGGGCATAGGACAGGGTGCAGCTAGAGTCGCCAGGAGGACCCTTGACATCGTATTCACTGTCTAGAGCTCCCTGTATGGGCATTCACCTCTCCGAGGAATTGTCAGTGCTGGTGAGCACAAGAGCCCTAGCATTACCGTAGATGATTCGCAGTACCTTGTGTGGACCCTGAACTTGGCTGGCACTTTCTAGGCAAAAGGGGACACACTATCACCATTTCAAAAATCAAGCAAATGCCTTTTAGCCTTTTTCTAAATAGAGGATGGATATTTGAACAAAAACATTATTAATTATTTTAAATTAGTAGAATGTTAAGGGAAACATACATTGAAGCAAAAACTACAGTGATAGGAGTCCTGCTCTTATTTATGGAACTAAGTAAACTTTGTCTGGTACATGCAATATTCTCTTCCAAAAGGAATTTGTATTTATAAAAATTTTGTGCCAAAAGTTAACTGAGAGCCATCAGCTGTGTCTTGTCTGCATGTTTCAGTGATGTGATCCAGCATTCACCCAAACCATACTATAATGGCTGGGTGAAATGTGAGAAACAAGCAGTTGGGGAATGCAAATGGAACCATTGAGAACTGTGTAGCTGGCATATAGGGCAAATTGAAAGATGTGGTTGGAAATTATACTGGAAAGGTATGTG